TGTAAATATTGATACCATGGGATAGTCAACCCCAATTTTCTTTCCATTGTTGTTTTCTCTATTAATATCTTATTGGATGTTATATCTTCCAGAATATTGAATCCAGCTTTTCTCCAAGCTTCTTGAGGTATCATAATGCTTGGAGGCAATATCCTTTCTTGGTTAAATAGGGCTTGGTATCTTGATATTTTAGGCACCAACTGTTTTCTTTTAGTATCCCATGTATTTAAAAAAACTTTAAAGATAAAACTTTTTTCTATTTTTTTAGATCTTTCCTTAGAGGTTTTATCTTTAAAGTTTTTTTAAATACATGGGATACTAAAAGAAAACAGTTGGTGCCTAAAATATCAAGATACCAAGCCCTATTTAACCAAGAAAGGATATTGCCTCCAAGCATTATGATACCTCAAGAAGCTTGGAGAAAAGCTGGATTCAATATTCTGGAAGATATAACATCCAATAAGATATTAATAGAGAAAACAACAATGGAAAGAAAATTGGGGTTGACTATCCCATGGTATCAATATTTACAAATACAACATGTATGTTCTCAAATAAAAATAAATACAATCATGTCGCAACCGCTATCTGAATTCGAACAAGTTTATAAATATGCTTGGAGCTCAAAGAAACATTTAATTTCTAAGTTATATATTATCTTAATGTCAAAGGATGTTGATAAACCATTATCATATCAACTTAAATGGCAAACTTTATGCACACAAACTTTGGATGATGATCACTGGAAAAAGTTATGGTTGAACTTTCCATTTAGTACCAATATTGTTGACATAAAACTTCAGATGTTTAAAATACTTACTTTTTGGTATTTGACTCCACAGAAGCTGGCCCATATGGTGCCAACGGCAAGATCATTGTGTTGGAAACAATGTGGTAGTCTGGGAACATATACACATTGCTGGCTGGAGTGTCCTATTTTGATACCCTTTTGGGAAGAGATAATCTTAACCATAGAGCAAATATCGGGTATAAAACTGCAAAATACTGTAGAACATCTTCTTTTACATCAATGGAGTATAGATATACCAGTAGAGAGTACAATACAGCAAATTGCTATTCTTTTAGCAGCGGCAAAAAATGCTGTTGCTCTAAAGTGGAAAAGTAAACAGAGACCAAATAAACAGAACTGGCATGCTAAGCTATGGAATATGTATGTAATGGCAAAAATTACAAAGAGTGTTAATGATTCCTGCTCTCAAAGAACACGATCTAATTTTTCTGTGACGTGGTCTCCTATATTACAGTATTTGATGCAACAGAAAGAAATCCCTGATATTATAGATTCATTACATTTATGGTGAAATAATTACTAATGCACCAAATGATATATAAGATATATATGACCTATGTGGTGATCTGCTATAGTTGGAACTGTATATTTTAGTATTATTGAGAGTGATGTCTTTGTAAATTTGTAATTGATGTGTATGTAAACTTGATGGGAAATCCAATAAAATTATTATTTAAAAAAAAAAAACTTTCAACTTAAGAAATCACTAAACCCCAGCCACCAAAAACCCAGAAGCGCATAAAAACAGTGCAAACCATTTAAAATGATTCTTGTCAAATAATCCTGGCATACTGTAAAAACAAATTAAGGTCCCGTTCACATGGAGAAGTTGCCACGCTAAAGACACGGACGATAGGCGGATTTTCGGTGCGCGATCACACCGCAACATCTGGGAAGCGTAGTACACCCATGGCTAACCCGTGGCTTCTCGCCGAAGATGCGGAGTAAAAAACTACCACATACAATGTACTAGTTTCTGGAAAACACGGGGCAAGGGCAGGCGTCTGATCGCGTTTCCGTATGAATCCTGTGGCATCTGGCACCTGTCAGTGTCCTGTTGCACACCGGATGTTGTTGTTTTTGTAAGTCTCCACAGGATGCGCACAAATGATCATGCGCATGTGCAAACTTCAGTGTGAAAAAAATCCTGTTTGCCATGGAAGCGGCACCTAGCGATTGCTGGTGTGATTCCGCCGCACCGCTTCTTTGCCGCGCTGCAGGATAGCCGTGTGATCGGCACCTAACGGCCTAACCACGGGGCTTCGACGGGACATGTGATCGGGCTGCCGCGCATTACTTTGCTCCGGGGCAAACAGCCACGTGTCCCCCCCCCCCGCATTTTCCAGCCCGTGTGCCCGGGACCTAAATAGATCAAACTGCTTAGTTAACAGCCTGGATAAAAGAAGAGCTTTGGCCTGGCATCTAAAACAGAGTTGGGTAGGCACCAGGCAAGCCTCAAGAGGAGGGGAATTCTACATGTCAGGTGTCACCACTGAAAAAGCCCTGCCCTTACATCATCACTCGCCACTCCTCTGAAGGCAGGACACAGCAAGTGGGGCCTGTGAAGATGATCTTTCCTTTTTCCAACAGGAACTACTGTGTATTGCTTATAAGAGAGACAGTGAAGGGATGCTGTATTGCCATAGGAGCTCAGGTTCCTGTTCCTCATAAAACCTGTGATTAAAAATTAAGTGCACTTGTATGTTGATAGCTCCTCCTGTGTTCTATTTGGAGCTCGCATCAGAGCAACATTTGGAGCTGTTTTTTCTTGTAAGTACACTCCCATTTATATTTCTTTAGGGAGTGATTTCTCCTCATTCTTTTTATTGCTTTTTTGTTTTTGTTTCCTAAAGCAGCCAATACCTTGGGGTCATTTTTGTAATGGGCTATAAATCTTGACATCATTTTAACACACGTTGTACTGGTAGTCCGCTGCCAGTTGGCACTGTTTTTTGTGTCTCTGCTGTGTTTCTCATTTCACCAATGCCTACCAGGCTCCTTCAAAGCAGGGTGCAATTTTATGCCAAATGCTTTGCTAACCAAAAACAAACATGTCTGTTATTCCTGGTGCTAAGAATTCAAATAAACTCCATTGTTGACAAGCAACGTTCAAGAGATGAAACCCAAAGTGGTTATATGCTCATGAACCCCAACCCCAAGCAAGAGACCAACCATAAAACACGGTCCTTTTTTCAACTGTCATAGGAGTGTCTAGAGAAGAATTGCCAGTTCCACGTTGGGAAATTCCTGGAGTTTTGGGGAGGGCAGGGCCTCAGCAGGGTAATTAATACCATAGAGTCCTTTCACCAAAAACAGCCACTTTATCCAGGGGAACTGATCTCTATTGCTTGGAGATCAGTTGTAATTCCAGGAGATCTCCAGGCCCCACCTGGACGTTGGCAACCCTAGTGCCTAGGTTATCATCATTATTCTCATCCCCCTGAAGAAGAGATTATGTTCAAAGCGTGGGAAATTCTGTTTTGAGGATTAGCTTGCTTTTTAAATAAAAAACATTACAAAGCGGAATTTCCACTTCCACTTCTTTTTGTGGAAACTTGAAAACGAAAATTTACTATCCACAGGTTCAGGCCTGTGGTCCATTTCTTCTGTCCAATATAATTTCTTGGGATGAACTTTAAAAAACTGTAATAGAGACCATAAAAAAAACCTGGAACAGGTATTTAATCAATACCTTCTGCTGAGCCACACCTCTACTTCTAATTAACAGCTGATGGCCTTCGGGGGCTAAAATTGCATTCCTGATACAGGATGAAGCTCAAGTCTTAACTGCTGTGTTTACAAATAATCAAAATATTAAAAATTATGGGCATAATTCCAAGGACAAACTCCAAAAGGCAAGTAGAATGTGCAAAGAGACATTATTCATTTCATACTTCTAGTGCTGGAGAAGACACACCTCTGGTAGCATTTCTTACAGAGCAACAAATTGTCATTTCAGTTTTTATGTCTGGTAGGGTACCACTTGGATTTTCTGCCTCAGTTACTTTTGGTATTTAGGAAGGTGAAAAGTTTCTCCTTTAAAAGGGCTAAAATTTTTACCCATGACTGCTGTTTAATGTGTATTTTTTGTTTTATTTTAATTGGTTCCATTCTTTTGTTATGTTTTGTAATTTTTTTGATTCTGTTTTACATTTGACAGCTCTAATTTAACTTGTCGGCCTAACTTGGGTGGAAAGGCAGGATAAGAGTGTATTAATTAATCATAATATTTGGCGCTTTTTGTGGGGGGGAAAAGTAAGGCTAATAACAAAGCCACACTAAAATCTACAGAGACTTTTATCTTACTGTAACCGCAAAGGTTCATTAGATCAAAATAATATTTTAAATAGTTAAAGTGAAAGTCTCCACTATTTCAGCAGTAGGACTGGAATCCAGGCGACCAGCATCTTTCGAACACTGGGTACTGGGAGGTTGATCACTACAATGAAGCAAGAGTCGATGGTTCTGTCCATTCCAGTGCCATGGAGACGCAAACCAGGGAGTCAAACCGACCTTGAGAACTCCTCCAACCTGTTGTAAAGGACAAAAATTAAGAGTTTATCTCAGCAAAAAATCAAGTGCTACTAAATATTTGATCCCAAGCACTAATCTCGCAACCCGCTTTGTCTGACCAACCAACAATGGGCAGCCTTTCACCCATTTAGCCACTCATGTCCATTTTCCCACCTGTTGTTCCATTCCTGGCCTTCTGGGAAAGGCAACCACCCCAAAAACTCCAAGTTGTGAGGTAAAAAAGACCCCCCAAACTGGAACAAAACAAAAAAAATCCTGCCCAACAATTTATCCCTCAGACAAACTTGCCCAGGTTGGGGTAGGGTGTGCCCGCCTGCCAGTGACGTCACGCCCGCCGGCCAATCAGGAGGCGTGCTCGTGGAGCGGAGGAAATGACGTCACCGTATCCCTCCGCGAGCCAGGACCCCTTTTTGTGTGTGTGTGTGTGTTGTTGGTCCTGTGTGTGTATCAACCCGCCACTGTATCGATGCATTTTTTAAAAAAAACCTGAGGCGAGCGTGGTGGCGGTGGGGGGGGGGGAAGGAAGCCGCTCATGCGAGCCGCTCTCGCCCTTCGCCCTTCTCCGCGGGGCTGCAGGGGGCGTGTGTCCCTTTAAGAGAGGGGGGGACCCGCCAGCCTCGGCTGAGCAGCGGCGGGAGGAGGAGGAGGAGGAGACGGTGGCAGCGGCGGCCCCGGAGACTGGGAGGTAAGTTGGCGCCATTCCGTTATGTAGGGGGAGAGGCGGGCGCAGCCGAATCAGCCTTGGGGAGGGAGGAAGGGAGGAAAGCAGGGGGAGAGGAGGGGGCGACTGCGCGTGCGCGCGGGGCCGGGGACGCAGGTGGCGGTTGGGAACCGGAGGGGGGGGGGAGATCAATTCAAACAGCCACCCCCCCTTCCCGGAGGGTTCTTTCTTGCTCTCTCTCTCGTTCCCTCCCCCCTTCTTTGAGCTGGGAGGGGGGAGGCCGAGGAATCCGGAGGGAAAGGAGGAGCGAGCGAGTGAGGGGGGGCGCGCGCAGGGGGCGGGGGCGCGCGCCGCGCCGTGTACACAAAAGCCTAGCGCGAGGGACACGCTCCCTCGCGCTCCCTCCCCCTCCCTCGCACCCCGCCCCCGCTAGGCGGCGGCAGACCCGGCTCGCGCCTTCGCCGCTTCGACGGCGCTTCTTTTTTTTTTTCCTCCCCCCCTCCCTCTGTGGGGATTGAGGCGGGCGCGGAGGGATACGCGACCCCCCCTTCTCCCCTCTCCCGCGCGCTGCTCTCCCCACTCGCTCGTTTTGAGGGACGGGACAGGGGGAAGGAGAAGTGAAGCGGCTCGGGCTCCTTCCGCCTCCCTCTTTTTTTTTTTTTTTCGCCCCCTGTGG